GCGTACACTGGACTAGACTATTTTGGACCGATGACTATTAAGATTGGACGAAGACATGAAAAGCGGTATGCAGCCCTGTTTACTTGCATGACAGTTAGGGCTATACATATTGAACCCCCCAACCATTTTATTTTCGGCGGAATAAAATGGTTGGGGGTCAAGGGTGCGTCATCATTGTGAGACATGAGTTAGTGGTCGGCTGTTAACCATGTACTCTGTCTCAGTCAGTAAGGTCAGTAAAATATGTTCTGTTGGAGTCTGTTCTGTCAAAGTTATTTTCAGTGCAGTCTTTACGGCTCTAACCATTCTAGTCTATATTGTCAACATGTCGTTTTAACTCTGCGTCCGCCCCTTTAAAAGTCGTCGCATTATCACTCCAAATTTCAAACGGTGTCCCACGTCTAGCTATAAAACGTCTTAAAGCCATAATAGCACTGTCAGAAGTCAGATCGTCTACTAGTTCAATATGTATAGCCCTAACTGTCATGCAAGTAAACAGGGCTGCATACCGCTTTTCATGTCTTCGTCCAATCTTAATAGTCATCGGTCCAAAATAGTCTAGTCCAGTGTACGCAAAAACCTTGATTGGGGTTAATCGGCTAATAGGAACTTGACCCATAAGTGGTGGTGTCGGTAAAACGCGGAAATTTTTACATACCTGACAGATACGCCAGGCTGCTTTAACAGCTGATCGCCCTCGTAAAATCCAAAACTTTTGCCGGATATCATTAAGGACCTTTTCTTTGCCAGTATGGGCAGCATCAAAATGATACTGCATTACTAACAATTTCGTGTAATCGTCGGTTGGTGACAAAACAATCGGATTTTTTGTGCTATAGTCAACCGTTGCGGAGTCTATACGTCCACGTGCTCGTATGATTCCTAGCTCATCCATAAAAGGCACTAACTGAAAAATACGACTATCTTTATCGACTGTATTTCTAGTTGTTAGGGTATAACAGTCATTGGGAAACGATCGTTGTTGGAGGACCACTTTGTAACAAAAAAGAACACTAAATAAAGAAAATAATATATATATTTTTAAGACGTTATTGATATTAAGTCTAACTGTCATCTGTTGTCAGTCTCATCCTTGCCTATTAGTTGTCTTTCACAAGACCAGCCCGTCTGCAAGCAAAAAGTGTATACTCACTCTGCGTTTCGGAGTACTGTTTAATGGATACTTCGTAGTTATTGTATAAAATGGGCAATTATTAGCGGGTCGAATAGTGTCCATTTATTTTGTTATTTATAGCATGTTATTTTTTTAAATCTATACTAATATTATAAAGCTGAAGAGTTTGTTTGTTTGTTTGTTTGAACGCGCTAAACTCAGGAACTACTGGTTCGAATTGAAAAATTATTTAAGTGTTGAATAGGCCATTTATCGAGGAAGACTTTAGGCTATATAACATCACGCTGCAACTATTAAGAGCGAAGAAATAATAGAAAACGCGGACGAATTCGCTGGCGGCCACTAGTAGTTTATAAATCGGCTCTATTAGTAATTCGTCATAAGCAAAAAGGGTTTTAGGAACCTATTGATTGAATGTGTGGTTCCTAGTGTGGTGATGGAGACAACTGGTCAGGGAGACTAAAGGATAATTGTCTCCCTCCGAGCTAGGTGTATTTAGCCCGGGGATCGCGGTCCAACCGATGTAGGTTGGACGTTCTATTTATGCTTATTAGTTATTAAACTTATTCTGTGCGATGTAGGTTTCTTTGTTCTAAATGTCTTGTAGTTATTAATTTATGACGTTCGTATTGGTACAGCGCCATCTCGTTACTTGGTGTTGAAACTTCTTGCAGTTCGTCTTGCTATCGATGGCTGTGACGATGCTTATCTTCTCGCTATCGATTGTTGTGGCGATGTTACTGCGATGAATTAGATGTCGCTATGTATCAGTCGCCACAAGGGTTTTCTGTGAATTTTAGATGGAAACATGTACGCGTCACTTCGTTCCAATGGATTTCTGATCCCTATGCCCAAAAATGTCAACTAAGAGAGAATAAATATTAACATTGTCAGTAGTGACGCTAGGTATATTACCGTTCTCTATGCGCTAGGTTCATAAAAATTGATACAACGATATCTATTTTGTTATAATTTGTTTCACAAAAACGATTAAGTCTAAATAAAACTAAAAGATCTTCTTTGAAAAAAAAATATTCCGCTCTTAGCTTTCGTTGCGCGCCCCCGTGCGCGTACACGACTCTCTTCTACCCAAACTGTGAATACATCTCGTGCCTTCTGCATACCCCGAGCGCAGGCCCTGCTGCTTTTGTTTTTCTCAAAACATTAAAACAGTAGAACTTGACTCATTATCAACTTTTTGAGTCGGTGGATACCATACGGTGGCAATTAAGCCGACTGAGCGATCCCGGTGCGCTCGCTAAGGCCCCTCAGTCCCAGTGCACTTGGGCCTTGTCCCAAGGGTGAAGGTTTGCCGCTAACTCCATTAGGGATAGCCGCATTTTTCCGCGTCCCCCTTCCCCCATCGCTCAGGCGCGGGGTCGGTCTTTTTGCACACTCGCCCTATCTCTCTCTAACCTACTAAGATAGGTGTGACGGAGAGAAGTGCGAGTGAAATATAACTACTCCTCTCTCTCTCTTGCATTTAACGGTTTTCATTGCCGATATGTCGGATTTACTAAAGCAAAAAAAAAACCCTATTCGATGAGCTACAGCGCGTGTTGCCTGATAGCCTCTACCAAGCCGTCCTTAGCGCGGTGATGTCGACATTACAGGCATCGCCGCCCCCCCAACTTCCGCAATGGAGTGTGAAAGCACATCCATAAAGAGGACCGCTTCACAGCGATCCCCCCCCCCCGCCCCCCCTCGCCATCGGACGACGACCTTCTCAGGACGTTTGATTCTGACGAATCCTCTACCAACTCATTTCATAGGGTGAGAAGCCGCAAGAAGCTTCGTAAGCCACGCTCCCCTAGAGCAAGTGCGGACGCTTCTTTGGACAACGTCGCTCCCAAGCCCCGCGGGGTGGGGTGTAAAGTCACTCGGGAGAATACTTCTAGTATTACTCCCTCCCTCGCATTTATTATGCGCTCCACAGCCGAGTAAACCCAATCCTTCACCTCCCGTATTTATACGGGACAAATCAAGGTGGGCAGAGGTCTCGAATCTCTGCACATCCAACAAAATAAACTACACCCATGCCAAAAACATGGGCTAAAAACATATAGCTATCCGGGTGCAAACACCCACTAGTGAGGACTATAGAGCCCTCACTAGACATCTAACCCACCACAAGGTGGGTTAGAAGTTAGAAGTTACCATACCTACGCTCTCCCAGAGGAGCGTAAAGTTCGTGCGGTTCTGAGAAATATTCCGTACGAACTCGCCACCGATCTGATCCATAAGGATCTAAATGAACAAGGCTTCCCTGTGGAGTCTGTTCATAAAATGCATAGTAGAGCCGGCAGGCCTTTCCCTCTGGCTTTACTCATCATTCCAAATATCCCCAACGCTCGTGACATTTTCAAGGCTAAAGACCTTAGGGTCTGCGGCTTTACCGGGGTTAAAGTAGAACCCCCTCACCGACGTGGTACCCCGGGACAGTACCACCGATGCCAGCTTTACGTGCATGCGGCGGCCAACTGTTTCGCGACTCCAAGGTGCGTAAAGTGCCTCGAGTCACATCCCACTAAGGAGTGCTCTCGAACTCGAGACACTCTCACCCCTCCGGCCTGTGTACTGTGTGGCCAAATCGGCCACACAGCCAACTATAAAGGTTGCCCACGAGCGCCGAAGCCCAAACCCTCTTCTAAGAAGAAGGGTAAGGGCCCGGCGGTCAACAAATCACCTATAGCCCCCCCCGCCCACTGCGGCGAACTTCCCCGTCTTACCAAAGGCGAATCACTCCGCTCCTAAATCAGCTTCACAACCGATATGCAAGATTTTTTTGTTGTGTACCACGTAACTTGAAACTCAACTCGCCATGGCTTGATGTAATTTCGACAACATCTCTTAGATTAGTTAATAAATTTCTATTTATAATAAATCTTATTCCTGCATGGGGCTATCTTACCTTATTTATATCTTTTTATTATGTAACGAAACAGGGCCGGATCAACAGGATGGGGGGCACTTGTCCGGGGCGCTAGTCTAAGGCGGGCATTAAAATTATCATAATTTTGGCTAGGACGGCGAGTTCGTTAGATTGCACTGTTCTTGTCTGAGTAACTTCTTTTAATCAAAACAGCGTTTCCGTGGGTATAAAAGGTAAACGTATTTATTTGTCGGAAATATTTTTCTTATATCTTATTTCAATTTAAATGAATACTAACAAATATTGTTTCAATCAGAGTAGAATACCCTGTTGGTTGCAGTTACTAAATTTATAAATTGTAATTTGGACAGCCTACTTCCGTGATGTTGGCTCCTGCTTTTGTAAAAAAGGAGTTGAAAAGATCAGTGAGCAAAAGGAAAAATGTCTCATTGACACTTTAGATAGATTGGGAATAATATATTTTCATGAAATTAAGCATAAACAATAATAACAAAAACTACTACAAATTTCAAAGAAAAATATTTAGATCAATAAATTTATGTTGACTTTAGGTCATTGACATATACCGATATTTTAATTTTATAGCGGGCATCCCTATTCTGTCAGTCAATATTTCGTGAATTCGTGATGTCAACAAATTCTTTCAATTTACTCCCGCTTTACATCATATTTTATGCTATTTTCACACATTTTCAGACTTCCATTTCAAATTATACGATTCTAAACTGTGTTTTGGATTAATTTGATTAATTGTGGGTGGACCTTGTTGAAAATTCTAATAAGGTAAGCAAAGGAATAACCTTTACAGTTGTTTGTATTTGCTAGTGAAATATCTAAAAACTGGTTAAGTGCAATGATTAATTTCTTCAATAGACAAGTAACTTCAGCAGTAATTTTTATCGAATTCTGTGTTTAAGCAATGTTTTGTAATGTAAGCAATAAAGTGATATTCAAGTAGTTTCGGACTAGCAATCAATTGTTTAGAGTCAATTGCTTTAAATAGACAGCAAATTGTAAAAACTTTGGTTATAAATTCACATTACTATTGTTCATTATTATGTTGATTTTAGCATGAATAAAGAAATTATTATAAATATTGTTGTTTTATTGATTTCAGAAATATGACAAAATTACTTGAATGGGTGTCAGTTTTATCTGCAATGTTCGCTGTGTGGTACTCGTTAATTGGAGGATATGTGAAGCATCCGTTGATTGAAAAGAATATTAATCTTATTTTAATATCTCCATTGATATTCATAGCACTGTTTGGACTTTATGCAGTTACTGTGGTTTTATATCGTGTATTTACATTTAACAATTGCGAGGAAGCAGCTAAGGAATTACAGAATGAGATTGCAGAGGCTAGAAAAGACTTATTAGATAAGGGACTCAAATTCTGACTTACATCAACATTTCTTGTAATATCAAGTAATTTAAATTGTAATTAAGTAATGTTCTTAATTATATTTAATGTAATTTGAATTTTACTATAAAGCATTAAATAGGAGATATTTAACATATATTCTTATTGATGGTCATTCTTATTATCTCATAAAGAAGTTTTATAAAAAAATAAAATATGTCAATATGTGATAGCGTTTATTTAAGTTTTAAAAGTTTACAAGTATGATTTAATTACAAATTATACACATATATTTAAACATCTTATTGATTTATTTAATAAAATAATAATCACAGAATTTCTATTTAACTCATTTTTTTTATTAATACACTGTTTGATGTTTATTGAAGTACGTACATGTTTAAAGCTAAATAATTTTACAATTGGTCCAATTCCAAAGGCTTCATTGAGTTAACAAGATATCATAGTAGACCAAATTCATAGGAATATATATAGTTACTTTTTTGAAATGCATACAATTATGGAAATAAATAAGAATTGAGATATATAGTATACTATATGGCACACAATGTCTTTGTTACATGCAAAAACTGTAACTTACTAATCATTGTAATGACTGTTGCTTAAATAAATAATAAATAAATATATTTTATGTCACAGCCAACTGGTTAAAACAGCCATTCAATTGGGTGGCTAGCCATTTAAATGGCTAGTATTAGTTGAATTATTATGCTAAAACAATCATTTAGTTTTGTAATCTGTTAAAAAAAATGTAATTTAAGACAATCAATACACTGAGCTTTGCAATCGTCTTAAATTTCTAACTTATCATGTGACCTACAGGATCAAAAGTATATCTTGTCTTAGTGTAATTATATTGGTATTAAGAATTTATTATGAAAGTTTAAGCTTGACCCACGTGTGTAATACCCATTATGTATATGTTAGCTTCCTGTATCAGATCATACGAACAATTAACACCCAGTCGCAAGTAATGTAAGCAGTTTTTTTATTATCTTTTTGATCAGTCCTGCATTGAGTTTTAAATAGTATCACCCACTACAATAGTTATTTTGTTTTACTTCTAATCCTACCAATAAATTTCGGTATTCCGGATGAATTGTTAGTAATGTAGCATCCAGGCCAGCTACTCGGCTGATCGAAAGTCAGCTCGTTAATTGAATGGCCCCATTCGTTAAAGGTTTAGCCACCCAATTGGTCGGCTGATTATACAACTTGGCTGCGACATATACATAGAATAGACATCTTATGTCTAAACTGTTTATTAATTTGCAAACAATAATTTGCAAACAATAATTTGCAAAATAGATTACAACCAGCAAAATATCACATAATTTTTATCCATAAAAATTGTTTGTTTTTTTTTACATGTTTATAGCAGTACACCAGGATGCAACTAAAACTCGAATAATTTGTTGACTGTTAATTGCTGAGATTTGGAATTCTATGGTGCGGGACGCAACGCATGCACGACACGCAATAAATTTTCTATGGCTTTTTACTGTACCTACTCAGCTAGAGCAATGTAAGAATGACAACGTGTTAGATAAATTTATAGAAAGAGGTGTTAGCTCTGGCTGACAATATTTATTCGTAAAATCAAAATATACAAAAAAAAAACATTATTTTTCCAAGTTTTAATCAATTACTATGACGTCATCGGCACGCAACGCATATTTTGGATGGATTCATAATCATAGCTACTATAAGCTATAGAAAATGTGTTGCGTGAGACCCATACGAGCCACTTTACGTTCACCATTATAGTAACCTGATTAGCTGCTGTGTGTACTTTGCCTAGTTATAGACAAACAACAGACAAAAATATATACCAAACAAGAGTGAAGTATAATAAAAATGTGTAAGTCCGAAAATGAATAAAGTAATTAAAACGATTGCCGACGTTCCAAAAATCTCATCGTACGTAAGTGACACGTCACTTCAAAGAGAGCTGCCCTAAACTTCGTCGCTCTGATCCGGTAAAAAACGGACAAGTGCACAAGCTAATCATCCGGGTCTTTCATGTCGTTCCGGATCTGAAAAAATCGGACTGCCGCACCTGAAAATTCAGTGTAGTGCACAAACGACCTAAAGGTGTTATAAACTCGCGCACTTCATGCAGGAGTTAAGTACCTAGTCATTATATACACGTATATTCATATTTAGTACTATTCTATTTACAAATTTCCATCGTAGTCAGAATAGTGAGTACACTTTAATCGTTTAAAAATTAACATATATTTAATTTAGCAATGTGGATAGCAATCTAAGTACCTATACGAGATTATCAAAATCAAACGCCTACCAACACTTCATAAAACATGTTTCATTCATAAAAAAAAAATTAAGTCGTTTTGACATTCAGTCACTCGAACGACTTTAATCCTATCCATGGGATTCCTTTAAAATAACACAAAAAACGCTCATTAAATTGACACAAATCAAACAATAAAAAGATACAAAATTCGGTTCACAATGAACGAGAGTAATGTGTTCTTAATGAAAAATGCTTAAAAAATCCATTTTGTCCCTGTAAGAATATTTTCCAGTATAGCATTGTGAATGCAAAATTAATCAAATAAACTCGTAATAAAGAGAGTAATGCATGTTAGAAGATAGGGAATATTTGTTACCTAATTATTTTTGATAAATATTCATAATATATATTATAATATATACTTATACATGTCAATATTAAAAGGCGCTCGGTTCAAGAAAAGTTTACGCTTCGAATTCCATCTTGAGCAGTTGAGACGGTTGACTTTTAACTGATTTAAAAATTAGGACCTGTAATGTTTGTAATTTCATTGAAATGACGCAATATTAATGCAGGTTCTTCATGTAGGTAACTATAATATCAATGATATAAAAAACTATGAAGTCGGTTTTATTAAAAAAAGTTCAATTTAATTCTGAATGTAAGGTCTACAGCATGACTGGAAAGACCAAATCTCTTCAATCGATTTGAGGTCTGAATCTGCTGCTAGTCCGAGGGACGACCTCCGTAGAGGAGCGGGTTACACGCTAGTTTCAAGTTGTCGCTATTTCTGAGGTCCCGGGCTGTAGATCTGATTGAGCTGTCAAAATGAAGGTATGATCTACGGTATTTCAAGTCAAGATCAGCGGTCAATGGACCAATCAGTATTATTTGAACCTGGGACTTCAAAGACCTTGATAACCGTGTGGTGTGTTCGACACTCGGATATGGACATTCGAACCCTGTTACTTTATTTTACAAACGTAATATAGTATACTTACGTAAAGTAATGAAAATATGTGGTAATGTTATCTACTTTTACAAATATTTATTAGTTTTATCGATCCTATCTACTCAATTATCAATTGTCGTACGAATGAGCTACCTAATTTGATTCCACCGAGCCCATTTACCAATCAATGCCTTCGTTTGGTAGGTAAGTATTTATTATTGTCATCTATACATATAAACGTTTGATTCAACTTATCTTTCCATTGATTGGTAGGCAGTTCTCGGTGCAGTTACGATTTCCAACGTATAATAAGCATCTATCACATTTTTTCGAACAAATGATCTTGATCTATTATAATATTAAAAATGAATATTGATGAAATTTATCTTATAGATAAATACATAAAAAATTCGGCCATTTCAACCATGCTCCTTTCCAAAGGGAAATGCCATCGCGAACTCTAACAACTTAGATGTTTCAACCTTTTCAGTAATTTTCTACAAGATTTCCTCAACATTTTAAAGTAAAAAACTAAATATTTGTCACATTTGTCGAAGTTTTGAATCGACATAAATTGTGGTTATAAAATCTTATTACATCACAATAGATCAAGTCGATTGGAATTTCTCAAAAAGTGTGTTAGAAATTTATACGTTAGAGATTCATTACAATTATAAGTTGTCGCTCTATATTTTTTACTAATAAGCTGATATTGTGATATAATTCTAAAGCTACAATTCCAAAAGTTATACTAACTATTTAATACTACAGAATCAGTGTAGAAGGGCAAATTGTTGTGACATATCTTTTCCAGATTTATGTAGTTGATTGTTTTTAAAAGCGCTTGTATATATATTATTACATAAGCTCTTTTGCTGCGACTTTAGAACGTAGCACAACAGTAGAGATAAGTTTACTTCATGTGTGTTTTTGTTTTGTTTTTTGAGTCGCACTAGGTTAATATATTTTAACACGTTTATGTGTCTCGTGTCGTTTTTGTTGCTGTCGTGTGTTGTTTCACAAATTAGACCGAAACGGATATTTTGTTTTGTGTTAGATAAATGTCTAGCTAACCATAAAATAATAAATGTACTGAAACTTGTCCATCTGGCGTGCTATAGCACAACACAACATGACAGATAAACAGTGTTTCAACTATTAATTAGTTTAGTAGAAACGAGATATGCCATTCTCTTAAAAAACATCATTGGGTTCGACGTCAAGTGCAGCGTTGACATAGTATAGAATTTCAATAAAATACGACCTTTATTACCTTTTAAAGAAGGTTTTATTCGTTTGAACCGGTATTATACTTTACGCTACAGCGACTGCAGCTCTAAGTCGATGCACTCGATGGGCGAGTTCCAGGGTGTTTTTAAAATGGAATAGCACTGCTTAATAATGCCTATCTACCTATTGTATAACTAAATCAACCTATCAGTGTCTATTAAAGGAGTATTAACCGCGAAATTTATTAAAAAAAAAAATAGAGTAAATGGTCCTATATTCAAAATATGCCTAACTCGATTGTTTGTTTTTGAAAAGTCGGAAATGTAGCCTACTAATTATTATTTAAAAGGCAGTTAAAATAAGCAATAAAGTTTCATTACAGTATTTAATGAAATAAAGAAAAACCGGTAAAATGAAGCTTACGACATTCAAATGTTATATTAATAACATCAAAACAGCACTTGGTGCTACTTGTTACACTTAGAGCATTCAAGTTTGTTACTTAAAATTGGTCCAAACATTTATTTTTCGTTTAGGCCTTCCCTAATTAGTAGTTTAAGCTTCAAGCCAATATAAAGTAACATATTAGAGTAAAATTATGGCACAGACATTATTCACGTTAGATAAATTATATCACAAAATATATTTTGAGTGCAATTATTTAAAAACG